CATACAATTTATTTAAAAATAAATTATGTCATAACTTTTAATTTGTCCCACAAAAATTATTTTTTGCAGAATTTTTAATTCATTTTTGAATTCAGAACCATTTTTAAGTATAAAATTTTAAAAAAAACAGTAACGGTCAAAATGACCGCTTTGGGCGTTCTAGGTCATGAAAATTTCCGGGCGTTCTTGTGTTAAACTTACACGGTTCCATAACCATTTCTTTGAACATCTCTTAACATAATTTTCTAATTTAAAATACTTTATCTATTCAAGGTGTATATTAGGTGATTCTAATAATGTTCTTTCTCGTTTCAAAGAATTACCAATGATGGAAAAAGTCTTGTATGACAATTGCATCTTTTAAGAGCACGCAGATCATAAATCTATCTCCATTATAGTATTTTTTTGGTTCTAAACGGTATGTGTTTTTGTACTTAACCTTTCTAACTAAAAGTTTGTCAACCACCTATTTGTTCTCTTATGAAATGTATGACAAATGTAAGACAATTTCTTCCATTCTGAAACTCTCTAAATAAAATTTCTATTTAAATCAGAATATATTTTGAATTCACATTATCCAACAAAGGTGCTGTCCCATTATTCAAATTAAACGTTATTTATAAATCAGTGCTAGTTGAATTTATTCAAGTATTTTGTCTAAAAAAGCTTTTCATGTATTAACAACTTTTTTACGATATCATTAAGTTGAGAAGATATAATTCGATATTATCCATAATCTAAAAACACACTTATGCGATTCATTATTTTGTTGTTATTAACTCACGTTTACTCATTAAATGTAATAAAAAAAAACTTAGTCTGATCGTGAGTTATAAGAGAAAGTCATGAGTATACAATAATGTTCAACTCTTTTTATTGAATATGTGGACTATTTAATCGCTGCTGCCTAATTTGTTGTCTTAGATCACTTGTCTCTTGTTCATACGTATCAATTTCATCTTCTAACACGTGTAAACGACTTGTTAATATTTCAATTTCACGTTTTAAACGTAACGTTTTTGATTCTTGTAAATCTAATTTTTCACGAATTTGAGCATTCTCTTTTAATAAATTTTCAACTGTTTCTAAATTGACATTTTCTAGAGCATTCAAATAATTCATTTCCTGTTGTAGTCTGTGTTTGCTTGAATTATTGTAGTTATCTAACGATGATAAAATACTGGTGAGATGTAAATGAATATTTTGTTTTCGACGTTTATTTATCTTACATTGTTTGAAATTCGATGTTTGTTTTGGTAGTTTCACAGTAAGTGAAGATGATGAGCACGTTCGTTTACGCAGATAAAGTTGCCGAACAGAACAATTATAAATAAATTTTAAAAAATAACAACATCGATAAGCAAATAACGTGAAGAAATAAACGATCTTTTTGGTGAATACGGTTAGAATATAATGCATGCCATTGGATCTCTTTAGCACTTATTAAACAGCAACATGGATGAACTTATAAATCATACATGCTCTGACTATACAATGGCGCCATTGACTCATCACAGCATGATGAGAACATGATACAGCTACTAAATGTCTTTCATATCGCATTAGGATAAAAAAGCTTTGGCATGGGGAATACGCATCGATGTGCACTGCATGCGATATGTTCACGTGTGTCGATGTGCGCATGTGTCAGGTCCATACTATTTTTCATTCTCATAAAGAATATTACAACAATGAAAAGAGGAAGTCAAAACAGGACTGCCAACTCAGAAGTCTAAGAAATCAGCAAAATCAGAAAATTAGAAACCGGTCAGGAAAAAAAATCTAAATTACAAAAATTCGACGAACATAATTCTACTCTTTTTCTGATGGATTTTTGACCTTTGCACCCGAAAACACGTTCAAAGCTATATTAGACACGAGAAAAGAGACATTTAGAAGCATTAGAACACACATTGTGACTCAACTTTGATCATAGCACTGTATTCAAAATAAATCTTTTTAGTTTTTTGTTTGGAATTAGAAAATTGTCGAGATTGACGCTTCGCAGTATTTCCTTCATAGTTTTTTATTTTTACAGTATATAAAATTCAATATGTTTCTTTTCTACAAAATAAAATTGAGAATCTTTCAAAAGGGACTTCAAATCTACGCGATCAAAAACGAGAGAATTATATAAAAAATACGAAGAGGGTTAGTTATTCCATATCACCCGTTAGCATGGAATTTTAACCGATTTCTTTATTATTTATCAACTATATCTTTTAAAAATTTATATTATTTATTAATTGGCAAAAATATCTATAAAATCTAATTCAACATAATTTAATCCTTTTGTAAAAGCTAGAGCATTAATTCCATCATGTAAAAAGAGTTTTGTTGTTACTATACTCCAATTATCCGAATAGAGGACAGTCAATTCACCTGACTCTTTACCATTTACTCGTAAATAAAGACTTGACGATGTTTTTGAATTTTCATCATTTGACGTCCTTGCTCTTACATTAACTACATACCATCCTTCCATATTAAGATAGATAAAAAATTCAATTAAACTATTGGTTTTATTCAACCCTTCGACTTTTAAATGGTTCGATGCAGCTAGATCATACCGAACAGATGGTCCACTATCAAATTCGGCATATTCAGCTTCATATCGTTGTCGAATGGGTTCACCTGAAGGTAATTGTATCGGAATATTAGGATCGTTTAGTGAACAAAAATTTGGTGTATTATCTAAATTCCATGAAAATATTTGAGTACGGACTTGTCTTACCCAACCCGAACCATTATATCGCGCATTATGGAAGACAATCCAATTTTCTTTGTCATCCGGTGATTTTGTAAAACTTGCATGACCAGGTCCATACAAACCATTTGCACTCTGAAGTAGAGGAAATGAACGTTTTATCCAAGATGAAGGCATCATTGGATCATTATTCACATCAAGTGTAATTAAACCTAACGAATAATCATTCGTCCAACTGCCAGAGGCTGAGTAGATAAGATTTATTGTTGAATTATGAATTAATATTTGTGCACCCTCATTTACATTTGGACGATGATTTGTTTCCCACGAATACGTTGGTATCGCTATTTCTACTCTTTCACTATCGATTGTCCAAGGATTGCTCATATGCGCAATATATAACAATTGTCTCACATCTATATCTCCTTCCCAACCAGACCAAATGAAATATAACTCATCACTCAGCGGATGCTCTAACACAGTCCCGTCAATAGCCCACTTTTGGGTGGAATCTGTTATTTGTCCTTTTTCGTCAAATTCCCCGATAAACGGATCGAAATTTTTGTTTTCCAGTACAAACATTCGATGATTCACATTGTCGCTATCACATGTTGTCCCAGCGTAATAGATGTACCATTTTTGTCTTAGAAAATGAAGTTCCGGAGCCCAAATATCACGACATGATGGACCTGTATCTCTTGAACTCCATACCGTTTTATTTTTACCGACATCAATTCCAGTTAATGTTCGAGATTTTGATAGTAGTAGATTTGAACCAGTCGATTTCAAATAATAATAGTAACCGTTAGAGTGTTTGTAGACCCATGGATCGGCACCTTCCTGTGCGATCAAATTATAAAAATTATTCACATTTGTGTAATTTTGAGAGACTAAAGAGATGAAATTTTGTAAAAGAATTAGTTAGTCTTCAAATAATCTTTTTAGCAGTTTATAACATGTTTAAAACAATATAAGTCCCTAAGCAATTCCTGACAATAAACTTTTCCATCTTTTTATTTAAATAGAAATAGAACGTCTTACGTACAACGTCTTACGTACAACGTCTTACGTACAACGTCTTACGTACAACGTCTTACGTACAACGTCTTACGTACAACGTCTTACGTANTACAACGTCTTACGTACAACGTCTTACGTACAACGTCTTACGTACAACGTCTTACGTACAACGTCTTACGTACAACGTCTTACGTACAACGTCTTACGTACAACGTCTTACGTACAACGTCTTACGTACAACGTCTTACGTACAACGTCTTACGTCTTTAATGAAATTTATGGTTTGATGAAAAAATACTTTATCATGTATTATATTTTCAAAAATTCACGGTTGAATAACTATCTAGTACTTGAGCATCTAACTAGAATCGATATTTTTCCAGATTTGTTCATTATGTAGATTGTAATCTTTTGTTCCATACCTATCGTTGCATGGTTTATCACATTGCCACTGATTTGTTTTACATAATTACAATTAGCTAAAATTCCAAGAAACAATGAAGTTAGTACGAGTTTTAAATTGGACAGCATTTTTTGTTCTGTTAACTATCAACTTTTTTTCAAAATTATTTTAAGCATGAAGATTAGTGTTGACATTTCATAAGAAAAAGATTATAAAACTTTGAAGGGGATTTATTTGAAAAACTATTTGATTATATCTTGTATGAAATTAAGAACAATTTTAGTAAGAGGATTCAATTCGATTTATATTATCCTTACCAGGCATATTCATATAACTTTAAGATAACGATATAACAACGGCCTTATTATTAATAAGACCGCTGTTATATAATTATGTTAAAGGATTCACAAATTCACAAATTTTCTATTGTGAATATGTCGCAATGTATTGGAAATATTTGCGAATACTTAAAATTTCATGAGACTTCTTATTTATATTGTCCCGTCATTAGAACAATAGCGTGCATTTCTTATTTGATCAGTGCTCAAGAATGAGAATTGAATGATAAATTTTAAAGAAATGATAAAAGAATGTTGCAATGATATTGAATTTTGTACCAAATCTCTTGAAAAAAATACCATATTTTCCCAACAGTTCGGTTTTCGCTAGATTCTTACATCTGTTCGAAAATAAACATTGTCTCCCGGTTCAAAGTCGTCGACAACCTCAATTTTCACTCGTTTTTTTAAGATTTATTTGATCCGTCTAAGAACGATCGTTAGACACACAGAAAAAAATGACTTCCATCGCAAACCGTGATAAAAGAAAAGGTCGAATTTACACGAATGTATAATGAATACACATTGGGAGATATACTGTATAGGTTAGAATAGAAAGATATAGATTGGTAATCGTATCGTCCAAAAGTCACTGAGCGGAGAAGGTTTCGAAGAAAAAATCGAATTCTTGAAGAGGCACAGTGGGTATTTTTAGCAGGCGGATATGTGGTTTTAAGGATTCCCCTAGGGGGATCCTTAAATGAGATTTTTTGTGAGTTTGTTAGTATTTTTCGAACACTTCTTTTAATAATGCTAGAGATTTTTGTGCTCAATTTGACAGTCAGACCGATAATTTTGCGGCATAATTGTAACTGTAATAACTGTAAATAAAATATCAACTATTTGGATTATTAGATCAATGAAATAAAAATTTGTTTTTTAAATGTTTTTATTATTTGATAATGTACTTTAGTAATTGAACTATTATCTTTATACTGAGAAATATATGTAGGCTGTTTTTGTTTTCATCAAATGTGATTAACATGATAATATAAAGTTAACCTGGTTCCCTTTCAGACAGATGTGTGTGACGTAAATAACTGCATTATCAAATATTGAAGTATTTCGTTTTCTTTTAACATTTTCTATCGTTATTATGATATTTCATTACAAAGACAACATGGTCTTTTTCTTTTTGACACTTAATCGTATAAATTGAGGAAAAATATGGACACGTAAATTCTTGAATATATAAAAACGATCATAAACACACTTTCTTAGCGAAGAGAAATCATGAACAATATTTGTCAACAACGACAAAATGTTCTTGATAATAACTCCTCCCGAGAAATAATTGATTCATGGCAGCCATCATCGTTAGATGAATTAATTTGCAACATGAAACAATTTTTATCCGATAAATATTCTCTGGATAAAGCATGGTGTGTGTTTTATTGGATAACACAAAATATTCATTATGATAATACAAGATCTGATCAAACAGTTGAGAGTGTTTTCAAGTCACGATCAGCTACGTCCAGTGGTTATACCAATTTATTCAAACGACTTTGTGATGAAATTGATTTGAATTGTGAAATAATTAAGGGTACTGTTAGAACAATCTACAAAAGGATTAGTCATGAATGGAACGCAGTCGAATTGGAGAAAAATCATTGGTATTTGATCGACTCAGCATGGGGTAGTTATAATCAACTCAATGAAAAATCATTGGATCTCTACTATTTTCTAACACCATCAACGAAATTAATTCAATCTCATATTCCCAATGATAAACAATGGCAATTGTTAATACATCCGGGCATTACAAAAGAGCAACAATTAAATGTCCAACCAAAATTTTCGAGTGCATTTCATGATTATCGAATGGATATTGTATCACCACTTGTATGGATTAATAATGGTTCATCCTATTTTAAAATACAGATTCGAGCACCTGACTATATACAACTAATATCGTCAATAGAATATACCAAAGACGGTAGAAAAGGTAGTAGTTTAACTCATTATGATGGTGATAAATGTGTCTGGGAATGTTTACTTGCTCCACAGACAACTGGTATACACAAAATAATTATTTGTGCAAAATCAATCAATACAAATGAAAGATATTCTCAATGTGTACGATTTGATGTGAATGTAACTGATTTGAACTATTTAATAACTTTTCCCTATGTTAGTGATCTATTTCAAAGTCTCAAATGTCAGTTATTTGAACCAATCTCAGATAATTTAAAAATTGGCGTAAAAGTAACACTCCGTTATCGCATACCGAAAGCGAAAAACATACAAATTCAAGTTGGAACGTCATTACAAATACCAGATCATTATGAAAATAATATTTTCAAATCTCACATAACAGTACCCAATGATAATATACTCATTATGGGACAACTGAATAATCAATCATACTATTCAACACTTGTTAAATATTCGACAGTATAATTCATTTTATAAACTGCATTACCAGCTTTCTGCCTGTATTAGATTCTAAGAAGTTCAGTTTATTTTATCGTAAAATCTACAAAATTAAATAAAGTATCTCTGTGCTTTATGAAACGAAGTATTAACTAACTAAATGGTAAATAATACCTGAAAACAAAACGATTTTATGTCAAAAATGTTGTTCTTTTCTTTTCTAAAAAAAAGCATTTTTTACTCTCGTTTTTCGAGAAATTCAATAGGAAATAGAACAAACATCATAGAAATAACATAAGATCAACAGGAATGGACTTCAGATTAAAGATAAAGATTCTTGATAATGGAGCCAATCCACGATTTAATGACCATTAAATCGTGGATTGGCTTGCATTTAAGAATACTTCATAATCAAGGTAGTAAATACAGGCATTTTAGGTATAATCAAGGCAAATTAGACATGCATCACTTTCTCTAAACTTGTACACTCTGATCAAAATCCATTTAATATGCAAAGTATAATTCCAGTATTCATTCGGTTAGTGTTTTAAGAATAGATATGGATAGTTCTAATCTTGACCGAAAATCTTTTTAATAAATAACGCATTGCCAAGCGTTTTTTTTCACAAGCAGTATTCATACATTAAATAAAAATCCATACATTATATCGACATGGGTATTAACAGCACAAATGCTCTCAAAGATTGTAACTGATCACTTTCTCGTCACTGACATTTGCTTCATGTCGAATTGATTCAGCTGTTGTTTCCGATCGACTTTTACCACGTATACCAACAATCACTTTCGCTCCTAATTTAGCTAGTTCAATCGCTGATACG